AAGTTTTTCGTTACTTATGTGTAAATATAGCTTTACGTTGATCCATTGTTTAAATATTACTTATAAATTCATTCATTTTCTAAAATAAAGTGGTCTTTTTGACCGAATATTTCAACAGGGCCACTTACTCTGTGTTTGACGACTATATCCGTCATCGGTTGATTATCGCGACACACACTGGGGCGCACTTTGCAAAATGATCGACACAGTTAACTGGTTAAAGGGGAAAAGAAATTTTTTTATCCCGCGACACATTTCAAACGAAATAATAAAAACAAACGTTCCGCGGTTTTATCCCCAAACTTTGATGCGTGTCGAATACGTCGAAAGTAACGAAAAATTTTAAATAAAAAAAAACAAACCAATGAGTGAGAGAGAGAGAGAGAGAGAGACGAAGGAAGAATAAAAATAAAAGAAGGAAAAAGGAATTCCGATATGAGAATATCGGTTATTATTCGTTCATGGATGAAAGTCTATGGTAGACGGTAATGCCTATAGAAAGTTAATGGACTTAGAGAAAATTGATGGGTTTTGTGCAGTCTCCCATGAAATACGCAGAGTACCCAAGCAAACCTTTTTCTATCTCTTTCTCTTTTCTTTTTTTTTCTCTCACTCTCGTTCACCTTTTACTAACTCATATTCATATATTCATGTACGTACACGCATTATACATATACACTCGTATACGAATACGTAACTTTTACATTTTGTATCCTTCGATATAACATTTTCTCTCTCACTCTCTCTCTCTCTCTCTCTCTCTCTCTCTCTCTTTCTCTCTTTTTTGTCCCACTTCTATTCATCCTTTTACTCTTCGCTAAAACCGTGCAATCGTCGGGCGCAATTTTTCTCGTTAGTATTCCCGACTACGAAACACTCGCAATACACATACACTCTGTTAGGTAATATATATATACATATGTATGTATATACGTATTCATGAGTATGTGTACCGAACGAGTTTTGCGTCCATAAGTGCCAAATTGAGGCTGCTACAAGAAAGATGATCGAGTTCTCTCTCTCTCTCTCTCTCTTTCTCATTCTCATTCTCATTCTCATTCGCTGACACGATGATACTTTCATACGTATTATTATTACCATTACCTATACATGTATCTAATATATACACGTATACATGGATGGTAGTTTAAAATTTTCTTTCGGAAGAAAGTCCCTCGTGTAATTTAACCAACGTTCCTCGTCGTCACGTTTTAAAAGAAACTTTTCTTTTACACTGATCCTAGTTTATTATTCGAGAATAATATTATAATTTATCTTTTGCACACAAAAAATATGATTAAAGTAATATAAAAATAATATGTTTAACGATAAGAATTAAATTTTAAGAAAAATAATTTCTATATTTTTGTTCTTGTGATACTTTTTGAGGTTATACTTCTTTTGGCGCGTTTTTTTTTGGAAAGTGAAGTTAGATGCGATCGAAAAATGTACACCACGAAGTTGTCGAGATATTTACCGATGCGCGGGAAAAACGATTTCAAATTTACCGGCATGAAGTAATTTGTAAATAAATAAATTAGATTGTACATATTAATTAAAACCTTTATCATTTTATTTTATCATATTATCATCTTTTTGACCAATGTAGAGTATTATTATATTGGTACGCGAGATAATTGAAGTTATTGAGGTTATGTTCGTTTTAGTACGTTAAAGAAATATAACTTCTTACGTGCGTACAGTTTCTTATTTTTTTATTATACGTGTTTCGGTTTATGCTATACTAGAATCAACTGAAATATCCAAACAATAGATCCGAAGCAACACGTCCGAGCCAAACACTTAACAAATTTCACGTATGTGTTTGTTCACAGGTGCGTGACAGAATGGCTGCCGCCGGAATGGAACCACTCGAGGAAGAAATTCCATCCGAGGACATCCTTGGACGTAATCATTGCCGTTACAACGTTAGAAGATTGGCGGTACCATAAGAAAACGGGGCCCCATTAACGAGAAACATTAAATACTCACTACTATTTCATGGACTTTCTTTTTTTTTTTTTCATTTTTTATTTGGCTTCCTCCCGTTCACCGAACGAACAAGAGGAATTTTTTTCGGAAGGAAAGTACGAAAAAAAAAAATTGAAATGTAAAATTAACTGCGAACGAAATTTGTTTGTTTGTTTTTTTCATTTTTTAATATATCGCAACGTTGCATCTTTCTTAAATCTTTATACGACGTAAGTTAGCTAGAGACGAAATAATAAAAACGAAAAAATAAATGAACAAACGAAAAAAGAATTTAAGCTCAATTCTGCCAGGCGCCGACTTTTGCGAGTAAAAAAAAAGAAAAGGGTCGCGCGCCTTTCTGACAAGGGAAAAAAAAAGTAAATAGAAACCAACACTTGTATTTATTTACGGAGAGAGAAGGAGGAGGCCGACGTTTAAACAAAATAATAATAATAATAATAATAATAATAATAATAATAATT